AACACTCAACGATGCGCTGCACTCTCAGCACTACTTGATTTGTATTTTGTCCAACGACTGCCGGCACGTTGTAGACGGATATTGTGCTCACCAACCCCCAAGAAATGGGGGTATGAGGATATACTTGTGTGTTAACGTTGATAGTATGGTGAGCCTTCAGATGAGCATTTCATTTGACTGTCACATACTTTCGAACTTATGTAATTCAGGGAAACCCTGCAACGGGACTTGGATTTAATGTACCCGTATTCGCCTATTGTTCCATTGTACACAGCTCGGTAAACAACTATGCAAGTGAACAGCAAAACCGTGCTAATAGTGCTCCGAATCAGTGTGGATGTCTAACTGTATCGGAATACGCCAAATAATTTGCGACAACGTCGACGGAGCAAACTCATGTGCCACGGCGGAAATTAACATATGGATATAAATGTCCGCAACGAAATACATGATTGGAAGCATGGTCGTTTTGACACTTCCTCGATGCGTATGAGACACTCGTCTCTTCATCGAATTCGTTGGTAAAAGGGAATGGGTTGCACATCCAGGAGGTAAGCATTCAGTGTTACAAGGTAATGTGTATTCTTCCACTGGAGTTGTACAAAGGTGTACACTGGACTACCAGCAGTGCACCACCCAGTCAAATGAAGGGGAGTGTTCCCGATGAATGTACCGTAGCACAGCGAGAGTGATAACAGGTTGATCACCTAGATGCAGCGTCCACAATCGTATTTTTGACCGACCGCCGTTTTACTTAGACTAGTATGGGTGGATGGCAGGTGTGAGCAGCAGCGCGAACGGCAGCCAGATAAAGTGCTCCCCGGTATCCATCTGCTCGGATTGGTGGACATGTCAGGGTGACGCAGGCCTAGGATAGCGCTTGTGCGAATGTGCTTCACGAATGGCCAGAAGTAGGCCAATTCACTTACGCCAAAATGAAACCAAGTGAAACGAATGCGTAGTGGTGTAGTTAGTGCTGCGTTCAGTACAAATTCACGCAGACAATGGAAAGGCGGAGCAAGTGTAAATTGCGTTTACTCACGCACAACCAACAGCTGCTGCAGGCAGACCATTAAACTATGTATTACACATAGAGGTTGTTCTATTACTCATGTCCGGGGCAAGGAGCGGCTGCACTCAGGTGCTGACATACTCCGGTACGCCGAATTGCCAACTGTCCAATGGCGCAAATGGTTTCGCTGGCAGGGGTGAGATGGCGCACAGAAGAGCGACATGTGTGTCTATGATCACAGGGCACACCGAGCCGTTCGGTTGTGAGAATCGAACGATAGAAAACACCACCGCCGCAATGAATGCATCATGCCTCGATCGCAGGGCAAGATGAACGCAAGCCGTTCGGCCGTGAGGACTGGACGTTAGCCAGACACCACAGCAGCACTGAACGCATCATGATTCGATCGATCGGTATTCAGCCTTAACGCAGATGAAAAAGCCAGCAAAAGGGTTCCCTGAGAATTGATTAGTGGGTTTGTGTTAGCACTTGAGAAAGACAACCTGGCCGTATGTGATGACCAGTTGATGGGCGCCGCATTCTTATCGCCACAAACGCTGTTATTGCCCCATGACTGGCCTCCAACAAACCAGTAAGCGTTTCTTAGGCTGCTTTCCTCGGGAGCACATTGTAAGGTTACAGTGTTGCTCGCTTTACCATTTCGATCGTGTGTGTGTGTTACAGCTGAAAATTCACCCTTCATGGGCGCAAAAATCAAATTCTTGACTTGACGTTGCAATGCGCTTGGATTTCAGTCTGCCCCGACGCACTGGTGGCACTATTAGACAGCACACCAAATTACTCATAAATGCAACTATTGTTCTCACAGTCAGACAATTGCTAGTTGTACAAATTGCTCAGGCCTTCGATGGTGTTTCTCGTGTAAAATGGAGAATATACATTTATTCAATGCTTTACTTACATTCACATGAAATGCGTGAAATGTCTGTAGATATCAATGAATTAGATGTGCAACATCAAACAAACGTCCAACCTCGCACCGTCATGGATGTAGTGTCAGCCTGCGCGGTGATGCATGAGGCATGTAGTAGCAGCCATCTCAGTATTCGGCAACTTCTACAACATTGCAAAACCTCACCGTATGCTGTGCATCGGATAT